GGAGCGATGGTGTGCTAGAATGGGACGCAACGGATGGAGGGCCCATCGGGGGAAAGGGGCTCGAAGACATGGTGACAATGCCAGGGCTGTGAAACGAGGGCGAGTTCGAGTCTCTGCTAGATGCGACAGAAGATGGGTTGGAGTGGGAGATGGACTTGCGCTCGGCGGCCTCGAGGATACTCGGTCTCGCGATGGGTTTCTTTGTGTTGGAGAGGGTCGACTTTGGCGATTGGGTGTTGGTAAAGGTCAGCGTGAAGAAAGCTTGCCGATCCTCGAGTTCCCATATAGTTATGATCATCTTGGCAAAGACCTGGTAGTCCGACTCCTTGGCTTTATACCTATTATCGAAGGAAGTTCTGCCAATACCTTTCCTGGTGATGACGACCTCCACAACAGCATCCTGGGTCTGGCGAGCAGGAGGGCTAAGACGGCTCTCGGGAGTGGGCATGGTACTGGCGGTTGGTGTTGCGTCGCCACCTGACTGGGAGTGTTGTCTCGAATCTCTCGCCGGTGCCCGTACGCCCATCTCGTCGACCAAAGATTCAAGGAAAGCCTCCCATGTCGCCCACACAGGCTGTCCGTCTTGTAACATATCGACTCCGACCTGAGAGAGGGACTGGCCCCGCAGATGTTCGATAGTGGCGGATACATCCTCCTCGTCCGAATCTTCTGTCACTATTCCCAGCATTCGACCCATGGCCTCATTAGCCAAAACAACCGTCTTGAGATTGTTCAGAACCATTGTCGGCACCGGCAGATACTGCAGGGCTGAGAAGGCGAGCTGACCGGGTGAAATGGCAGGCATAGTTAGGCGGAATGGACTCTGGGATGGCGACCTCGAGCCGTCTCCGAGGGGGTCCCGAAGGAAGCGTCCTCCACCAAGCAGGCGTGGGCTTCCATCTTGACGTATGGATTCGTTGGTCAGGTCCACGGCAGCTCTCGGTCGCGCAGGATTGACAGTGGTTGGAACAGGCGCCTGGATGTGGTTAGGATGCGACTCGGAGCGGCTCAATGGGAAACCAGTGTCGTTCACAGCTGCGGCGGGCCTAATAGCTCGGGAATGGCTGCTGGAGCGAAGTTGTTCGGGAGGGCTCATGTCGGTTCTGCCCGTCACGAGGCATCGAGAACGAGCCGTGTCAAGCGACTTGAGAGTCGAACAGGAGAAATGGTTAAAGATAACAAAATAGAATACCCAAGAAAAAAGTCAAGAGTGGAAAGATGGCGCCGCAATGGCCGTGGGGAGCAATGTCTAACCCTCTCGCGATGCGAACGGCCTCGACCTCGAGACCGAGACAGGTCTAGACGACGGCAAGTGGGCGGCGAAGCTTTCTCTACCACGAATCGACAAGTGACCGTCGACGGGGAATTGGCATGGCGCAAAGGTAGGATATGCTGAGAGTGAGACAGGCCGTGGCAAGGGGCCTAGCTTAGGTCTTCTGGATGCGGCGTCGACGGGAACAGGATTTAACTTTCGAAGGTATCACCCAACCAGCTCAGGTGAGGTCAGGCAACAGTGGGATGCCGTTTATCGCCCAGTCAACCTGAGGTCCAGCAGCTCCGGTCAAGGCGACGGAGGAGGTTCCGTGATGGCCGAGGAGCGTAGAGCTGGCAGACTCTAGCAGGCGAGCAGCCGCGATGTAGGTCGAGGCGATCTAGGACGGTTGGAGACAAGACAGTTAGAGGTGTAAAAGGATGATGGGACTGAAGCCCTGAACCGAGAGGAGAAGACAAGGAAGGTCAGAATGGTGGATGGGTTAACCCGGAGTGTCCTTCCAGAGCAGAGCAGAGCAGAGCAGAGCAGACCGACACGGCACGAATGGGCAAAGAGCAATGCTTAATGCAACTTGCTGGAAAGGATAGAATAGAATAGGCAATAGATTGTCCGTTCAGACGAAGGGGTGGAAGAAGGGCCCTGAGATGGATGGGGACCCTGAATTGACACCTTCTGCAGGCTGGGGGCACAAGCTGAGACGACACGGCGGGACGGCCACCATCCATGCAGTTTAGTGGTAAGAGCACCGACGGGCGGGGGCTTACGAGGGTCCAACGCCCACTGAACGGGGTGGCCTTACGGGGTGTTGCGGGCTCCGGGGCGCTCTTTGGGGGGCGTGAGGGTAGGTGAGATGCTGCGAGGTGGGGCACTTGTCGGACCCTCGACTGGTCGCCGCGGCGTGCCAGGCTTGGCCAGGGTCGGGATCGCCTCCACGCGTGGGGCCACGCCTTGTGTTCAAATGCCGATCGAGGACGACAATGGCATGGCCTGGCAAGCCCTGATTTCTGCGGTGAGCAGGCCGGTTCACGCGAGAGAAGTCGATGTGTCTCTGATGGCACGGACGCTGCACCATCCATCGCACGGCCGCAGAAGGTCAGATGGCGGACCAAGTTGGATATCAGCCAAAGCACTCTGCTCGGTGAAGCCCAGAATCGGAACTACTTTAGCCTTGGTGGTCCAGAGGGCGACGGGAAGCTTGTTAGCACAGATGACCTCCCAGCTAGCACCTAGAGCTCGCCCGCTGCAGATAAGCTGCTGTTAGAGGTAGGTTCTCGACCTGGAGAAAAGAGTCCACAATACGACGTCCTTACGTAGCAATGAGAACAATCCTCTCAACACACCTTACCCAAGAACCTAAAGCCGGTCGTTCCCAACCTTGGCCATTCCATTCTTACCAAGGTCAAGGGCGAGATGGAGCTTCTATCAGAGCTGTCCAGTCCAGTGTGTGCCCGAGGTCGCCAAGTCAGGTACCGGGACAGGGCGGTTAGCACTATCTGAACCTACTGCCAGTCTACCCAGCCCACAAAACGAGCAGGGTGTCACGCAGTGGAAAGGTTTGCGCGGATCCGTCCCATGTGGTTGGATATCCTCGATCCTGGCAACACCAACAACACCACAAAGTTGATGCCGGCCTGACGGTTCCCAGAAGTCACCAGCCTAGACTGCAACCCTGCACGTCGGCTAGAAAGGGCAGGTTAATCCCCGTCCCCTCTGATCCGATCGACGGTAGCTGTCACTCGACTCTCCGGCGATTTCCTCACGGCTGCTGCCGGCCATCCAGTTGATTAGAGCTTGGAGTTGCTTTTAAGTCAATCTCACAGTGGAAGCCCAGGCTTAATTGCTAGCAGCAGCTACAACATGAGCTACCGTGAGCTTTGGTGTTGGGCGTTCACTAAAACACTCCGTGGAACCCGCCCACACCCCGACAGCGCCAGTGGCGAAAGAAGGCCCCCATCCAGCCAAGCTTTGGCGTTTCTCCCTCTCTCCATCTCCACCTCCACCTCCCTTCCGCTCCTCCAACACTCCATCCATCTCGACCGACCATCGGCCGCATTTCAAATTCAAATGGTCATGATCCTGGTCATCATCATGGATTTTCCAAATCCGCCCGTTGGAAGGGAGCATGTGAAGCACACCCACTCGCGAGCAGTGCTTACTTGGCACAGACGTTGTCTACATGGCAATGGATGGCTAAACCGCCTGACACCGGACGAATTCTGCGTCTATCCACTACCGGCTGGACGTCGACACTAACAAGTACAGTAGCTTGAAGGTACGGATACCCAACCGTGAATGCTGCCTGCTATCTTTGCAGCGGCAGTTGGGCATCTCTTCAACACCAAGCCAGAGCCAATGGCTCTTACTCATCCATTGCTGATGCCCTCTCCCGCACGCTCCCACACAAACACAACACACGACCGCTTCGCTACCTGGGTTGCAGTCATAGTCACACCCGCATGCCGGCCCTGTCCATCTGTCGCGGCACCCCACTCCAGAAAATGCACGACACAGGAGATCGCGGGAACCGACGAATGAGACGGCCCTCTTTCAGGCACCGCGCGAAGGATCCCAACGACGACTGAGAGAGAGAAAGGGGACGGGGACAAAAAAGCAAAACAACAGCAAAGAGACTTCTCGCACCAAGGCATGCAGAGCTGATCAAATCCACTCGCACCCCGATTCGGCTCCAGTTCTTAACCTCGACCGGGACTGGCAGCAGCTTTAAGGGTCGAGGGTTTCCGTGCGTTTCCAGTGGCAAGATCGTCGGCCGGCAAGTCCCTGGCCTTGTTTGCATGCAGCCGCTGGCTCATGAGCATGCTCATGAATCGGGATCATCGTCACTGAATCCCCTCAGTTGCAGAAGCAAGAGAAGGCTCCCCAAACGCCAAGCACGCGGCCAAGTGTCTGTTTTACCAAAATACGCTCCGAACGTGCATCCTAGTCCGCGGCTTACGCCAACATGTCTCTGTCCATTTGTGGCCCTCTTAATGGGTTTTCAAGGGCGACAGACGAGGGTTGTCGAGGTCTATTGTGGTCTGGCCTTGGGTCCATGGCCGTCTAGAACCCATCGGCTAGACCAATGCTATCCACGTTCTCCTGACAAAAGCGAGAGGGCTACAGACCCCGTTCTACGTTAGCTGCCCATGCCCTGATACACGCCTATGATGGATACAATCATGTTGCTTATCTGAGACTGCGGGCAGGGCAAAGTCCTCTGTGGATGCGGTGGGTCATCATCTCGAACCACCAAGCGAAAAGGTTGTATTCAAGGATCCATGGGGCTCTCGCAGAATGGTTGTCTCTGGACAGCCGCTTCAAGCGTAGGCGTCCCGTTCTTTTCGTTTAACCCAAGTTCATCTCCCCCAAAGCACCGGTTCTCCTGCCTCGTTTACTAAGGTCCAATGGCCATAAAGCTCCGATGGCGTCCGAGCCCGCGCCGCAGATCATCTCCAGTTTCGATCGACGCTTTCCCTAAACCTGCAAAGCTCCCAGCGTCATCTTCCCTGGGAATCTCAGGGCCACGATCTGATGTTCGACCCCTGCGCCCTGGCTTTGCCCCGAAAAGCCTGGCTGTCGTGAGCCCATACCGGCAGAAGCCAACAGAGCCTTGCAGGCCAGGCCAAGCAGCCGCGGTGGGCTCGATGCTCACTCAATCTGCCGCGATGAAGTCATCGCTGACCGACAACCAGAATCAGAAGCAGGGTTCAAGGGGTATCAACTCTTCAATTCAGGTTATCCATCGTCTACTAACCACCAACGATGTAATCGTCAGCCTATCCTGAACTATCCTTCATCTTTCCACAGGTTGAGCAGGTCCACCATTGCCTCTCCATCTCTGTCCCACAAAAGCTACACTGCCATGTCTGAGGGACGGAGGAGGCTTTCGCCGCCGGTCTTGTTGTCCGTGAGGCGGTAGCGTTCTGCTGTCGATCTCGGGGCGGGCTCTGAGTCAAGTCGACAACAACCGGTCTTCTTCCAGGTTTTGGCGATCTGGATCGGCGATTGTCTATGGCCTGCGTTGCCTTTGCGGGCCGCTCCATCCCGCAAGCATCACAACAAAGAAAGGTGACGGGATTGTGTAGTGTGCAAGTGTCGCATGTCCATCCTCGAGGTTCTCTCGCTGCAGCGTTGGAACCATGTCCCTCTCTCTCGGCTGTATTGCCCAAAGATCGTCTGGGCCCCGAATTACTGGGCCCCCCTTGGTCCCTCATCACGGCACCACCGCCATTGCCAGTTGGATTGTTCGCGGTTGGTGGTATATAACTGCTTCCATACTTGGCCTGTTCATCCTCCTGCACCAACTCCCAGAGAGCCTGGGCGATAGCTGCGTCATTGGCCTTATCCTCTTCAGCCTGTGTTCGGAAGCCGTTCCTTGTAGCGGCATCAGCAATGTTCCGGATCTGAGCCTCGTCGAGGTTATCCGTTGCGCAACCCTGGAGCGTTCTGTTTCGTCGCTCAGCTGCATCTGCAATGACGCTGCGAATACTCTCGCCCGGCCGGGGACCAACTCCTCCCAAGCGTTTTCCAGAACCAGTACCACCAGGTCGACCTCGACGCTTCTCGGCGGCTTCTCGCGCCAACCGACGAGCTTCGCGTTGGGGCATTCTGGAACCTCCCAGCCGATGGCCCTCGGACAAGAACCCTTCACCAGTATACCCTTTGAGGACCAGGCCCTGGTGTTCGTCACGGAGTTGGTCCCAGAGAGCGTGGAATTTTGAATCGTGGGCATCGTGCACGATGTGTGATAGCTCATGAAGCATAGTATCGACGACGCTCTCGATGGACATGAACTGATTCCGGTCGCCAGCATGCCGCAAGCGCAGGCATATCTTCATACCTCGGTTCATATTGAGACCTATATCCATGTTCAATACGGGCTGCAGTTCTACGGGCGCCATGCACACAAACCTAGGAGGTTTCCCTGCTCGGGGTAGAATTCGGCCAGTTCCCGGACCTTCCAGTTGCGCGCTCTCATGATGGGTTTGACCAAAGAGGCCACCTTTTTCAAAGTATGCAGGGCATCGTTTGCTCTCGGGAAGTTGTTCAAGTGAACATACGAAAGTACCAACGCATCGTGTTCGGCCATGGTTGTTGAGGTTGTAGCTACCAGTCTCGGCAGCGATCTTTGAGGTGAAAAGGGCAAATATCACGACGGACAAATGGGGTCAACGGGTGTATGCTGAAAGCGACGGTGATGTCGACTAACTAGCGAGTGTGGGCATCAGTTGACGATGATTATCGACTCATTTCTGCGCCAGTGATGATGAACTGGCCACGTCAAGTGACAGGTGCCTTGAGCCGTTTGCCCCTCAAGGCAGTTGAGCATACGTTCAGTGTTGGAGAGAGGTCGTGGAGGCTGACGGAATCAGCCTAGAAATTTCCCGGTTTCTCTAGGCGATGACTAATCACGATTGCATACAACGAACTTCCATGAGCTCATTCACTTTGATTCTAGTCGAGTCGAAGCAGACATCGCCAGGTAACGTGGCTGGGAGCCTCTTTTACATTTTCATCCGGTCTTTTCTGTCATGTGCTGAAGTGAGCCCTTTTTCCCATAATGCCGGCGAGGTCCATGTTAGGATCGTCTCATTCCGGCTTCCTAGCCATCGCCCTCAGTCTAACATAGGAAATCATCTCTCCTCCTCCGGGGTTCCGGCAAACTTCACGCAGTACCTCTATACACTCTTGTACCGCTGCTTCTCTCTCCACTTCCCCTGGAACAGCATCCAGTAGTTTGCTTACCATCAGACGTATCCAGCCCTCCACACCACCCTTATCAGCGGGTGTAGGCCGCCACTCACGCTCGGCCCGCTCAACCACAAAGCCTGCATCCTCCAAGAACTTTGTCGCCCAGGTCTCGTCTGGGAAGAACCAAGGGTCGGCGGCCAGTGCAGCTTTCATTCCGACGCGGCGAGCCACGGCGCCAAGGGCTGCTGTCCGCATCTCAGAGACGTTTCCGAGACCGCCCATCTCGAACACAAAGGTACCACCTGGTGCGAGAGCAGCATACACGCCCTTGAAGAACTGGGCCCTGGTGTCCTCTGGCCGCAGGATCCAGTGCATGGCTGCGTTGGAGAAGGCTTTGGTGAAAGTTCCTTGCTGGAGCTCTGGTTTAGAGACGAGCTGAGTGGCATCGATAGCTATAGCCAGTTAATATACTGAATCAGGAATAGCAAAGTTGTGTTCTGAATAATGCTGGGAGCACTTACTCTCAAAGGTAGAGTTCTTGGCATCCTTGCAGAGCTCTCGAGCAGCCTCGATCATGCTAGGCGAGCTATCAACGCCGTGCATCGAACCACTGCCTTGAGCGAGGATCTTGGCGAATTCAACATTCAATATGCCATCTGGATGGTCAGCTTGGGTCTGCCAAAAGGGAGATAAATATTCACCGCCACAACCAATATCGAGGAGGACATCGTCTTTTTGGAGATCCAGCCATCCAATCACTTTTGTCGCAAGCTTGGGCACAAAAGACGCCGAGTTCTGGTAGGCCTATCGCGCGTGTAAGTGATGAAGCTATCACCAAAGAAGTGGGGAAATGCACCTTGGAAGACCACATATCCTTTTCTTGAGCCATGATTGAAGTGTAGCAAGTTATTGATCGAGCAATTGTGTTTGGAACTTGGTACTCAGATAAAACGTACTTTTTGGTTCTTTTATACCTGAGAGAGCGTCGCTTGCTGACGGCTGAAGAGGAGAAGCTCTTGGAGCTCGCGCCGAGATCGGAGTCGTGAAACTACCCTGCAAAAATACATTTCCACCCCCAGATATTGACGGTCCAACTTCATGACCTAAAACGTGGTTTTGATTCGCTAAAAAATAGATCCGGCATAATCGGCACGTCAATCTTGTCTACGTCAGGTCATGATATGGACTAGCTACATATTCCCGCCGGTTGTCGGTGGAATTGGCCAACTGCCACTCCAGATCTGTCTCCGAGATAGTATACCCCAACCTATCAATTAGATGGAAATCCTACCCAATACCCCCGTATTTAATCAAGCTCTAGTAGGGGGAACTTATCTTCACCCAAAGCATCCTCCACTCTCTTCATAATTGCCAATACCTTTTCCTCTTCTAGTCGGCGACCAACAACTTGGACACCTACGGGCAAGCCATGCATGGCGTCTGCATCGTAAAGCTTGTACGCTCCCTGTGCAATACCATTTAGGCTGTTTAGCTTGAACCCGACTGGCAGTTGATCCTTGGCTTTGTCAACATGTGTTACTGGCAAGACACCAGCAGAGTAGTCGAGCTATAGCAGGTTAGCCTATCGCAATGAAAGTGCAGCCGGGGCAACATACCAAGTTGAACAAGAACGTGTAGCCACAGCTACTGCAGGCGTCATGCATTCCCTTGTGAGGAACAGCCAGAGTCGCGTTAGGAGGGGTAATCAAGCAGTCTACACCAGACTTGTCCCACCAGTCGAACCACTTCCTCTTATACAACTCGCGCTTAGCGTTGAGTCCCCAGATTTCGCTTGCAGACTGGGGATGCCAGTTGCGCAAGAGTCCAGCCCAAATAGAATCTCGTCGGATATACTTGACCCATAGATAGTGCAGGTACTTGAGAGGTCGAGGTAGGTTAAAGTAGAAGGTCATTTGAGCTGCGCCGGGATCATTCCATTCTCCCCATCGGAAGAACGACTTGACTGTCTCTAGACCGTCGCTGCAGAGGAGAATCGATGCGAGACACAGAGCTTCATACGGGGAAGGAGGGTCGATCTCAACAATCTCATGGCCTACTTTCCGAAGAGCGGCTTCAGTGATTTCCAGAGCTCTCTTACAGGCAGGGCTTGGATCCACAACGCCGTCGGTTCGAAGAATGCCAACTCGGAGACTCTTCTTTTCCGCGAAATCCTGCTCAACATCTGACCTCCAGGGAAGAGGGTGGCAGGAGTAGTCGTAAGTCCAAGGCTTCATTTGAATGATTGATCGAGTGAAGTACGTCAAGTCGTTCAGGGTTCGTGCCATGGGGCTGTAGACTGCTGGTACACCATCCTGACCGGGCATGCTAGTTACCACGCCTGTCTTCATCCATCTTCCAGTCGAACACTTGAGAGCATAGATTCCCTAGAAGTGGGCTGGGCAGCGAACACTTCCGGCGACATCGCTTCCAATACCGATACGGCCGCCGAGAGCAAGAAGAGCACCCTCGCCTCCAGTAGAGCCGCCCGCGGTGTACTTTTTGTTGTAAGGGTTCGAAGTCTCTCCCCATATATCATTGGATGACTCGAAGCTCAGGAGTGTAATGGGCACGTTGGTCTTGACATATGGCACAGCACCAGCGTCCTTGAGCATCCTCACAGTGTTGCCATCAACCTTGACAGGCTTCCCCACATATGTGCTCATTCCGACCGTGCTGTCATAGCCAGCAACCTCGATTGTGTCCTTCAAGCTCACAGGGATGCCAGCCAGAGGCCCCTTGAAGTTGATGGAACCATCAGCAAGCCACTCCTCAGCAGAGGAAAGCAAGACCTCTGTTACACAGTTGGTCTTTTCATGTGCTTTGAGGGCAACTTTGCCATAGGTGTGGAGGTAGTCTGTGGCCTTGCTAGGATCCTTCTGTACGTCTTGAACTAGTTCCTCAATGGGCTTGTTGACGATTTCCCGGTCCAAGACACTGAAGGGAGCATGGTAGGATGTGAGGCCTTGAATACGGCTTACACGTTGTTCTTGTTTGAACTGACTAAGATGGTGTTAGTTAAGTGTGAATTCGGATAACTCGTATAGAAGATGGATATAGTATCTAAAAGAAAGACTGACCAATCTCGCCGATGTTGTAGATAGTCCAAGAGAAACATGGTTGTGTATGTGGGGCCGGGTATAGACAAACAAGAGTGAGACTGGGCAAGCAAGATAGAGGAAGAAGTTCAAGGAAATTTGAGAGTTGAACGGGAATAAGTTGAAGAAAAGACAAGATCAATGAAACCTGTATAAGAGGATTGGACAAGAGGCAGATGGTCACGGGGTATCAAGATAAAGGCAAGAGTCGCCGGCTCCGATCCGGCCTGGGTAGCCGGGGTGGAACCGCTGATAACCACTGGGCCATTGGCTCCCCCGCAGTCCATCTCCGCTTCTGCCGTCTGTTTAGAGGGGCCGTGCTCCGCTTTCCGGCAGTCGTCCCCACGCCGAGATAGGGAGGCGTCCGATGATAAAGGTCCGATGATAGTCAATCTTGGAGTCTCAGGTCTTGTACAGAGAAATAAGGATATTTTAATTTTTCTTTTGGATTGAATCTTCAATAATTCTCATTCCAACATCTCTTTTACCATTTCACGTATCTGAGTGAAAAGAGGAATGATATGAGAATTCCAAATCTTGGTGTCTTGTGGAGACGAAACCAATCCACTTTCACGCCCTTTATCTTGTAGTTGATCCCCTGTGGCTAGACATCCATGGTTTACACGCACTCGCTGAATGATAACGATTCCAGCATGAGGAACTCGCTGGCCAACAGTGATTCAGAGTGCTTCGTGATTTGCGAAGGAGGAAGGTCGTTGTTCACACAGAAATACCCATTGCACACAGACCTATCACCTATTACTCCCATCTCTGACTTGAACAGCCTGAAAGTGCACGTTACGTAAGACGGGAAGTGCAAAGCATGGCAGGAAAATGGAATCATGACTATGCAGTCAACTTAAACGACACTGTCACGTGGTATACTGAGTGCCGTTGGCGAAGCAGACCTGCAAGGCGCTTGGCAGTGTGGTGTCTCCAACACTCACCCACCCTAGAGTCCTAGACGCATGTCATGGGTCCATCCACCAAAAGGAGTTTATCTCCCTGCTTGCGCGGGGACTGCTAGAGCATATTCATCCCCTATTGCTAACGTACTATCTAAGACTCTATAAAAATAATACAAGAGTAGGTTAATCTCTTATCTTAATTTTGGTGAGTATAACCTATCATAATTGGTCGGTCCCCCCTGTTTTTACAGCCTTCACATGCGAGATAGCGATATTAATCCTGCGAGTTCTGACTAAGCCAAGTTGCTGCATGAATTGGGAGATTCAACGATATTTCAGGTTTCAACAAGTTCATGCAATAGATAGATGAGTTCTCAGTCCACTTTGGCTTACTACACTGGAAAGTAGAAATTAAAGACACACAACAAAATCGTCTGGGAGAGCCCAGCTGGATAGCCTAATGCCATGTGGACTGGTTGATATTTTTGGTGCTAAAGATGTTTCAGAAGAGGTAGCGAATCACCGTCAACAAATACAACAATATCTTGGCTACTATATAACCACTCTGAATGCCCCTACTCCTTTCTAAGAAACTCATCTAGCACGGCATCTTGACAGGACATTGCTCATCCTTGCAGCCGGTCAAGTCATGCGGCATCTTACCGGCTAGCCGGCCACCGGAGCAGTCTGCCCCGATCTCCGACGCGGAGATCGGGTGGCCCGTGCACCACACCTCTGCGAACTCGGCAATCAGAAGCTTTTCCAGCTCTCCACCCACCGTCCGCATGAAGCAGCCCAATCCAATACCGACCGTCATATGAACTGAGTTGAAACATCTTTCCTCTGACATCCAACCGCCATCATGTCGGCCGGCGACCAGCACTTCTTGGACGTGGTAAGTTGCGACGTGCTTCTCTGTTTGATGTTCTTGTAGTTGACCATGACCCCCTGCAGCTGTCAAATGCTATCCCACCCCAAGTCCGCCAGTACACCGACACTGTTACCGGCATAATCGAAAAAAATGTCGACCGCGCCGCCGAACTCGTCAGGGAAAATCTCTCAACGTCGGAATGGATACCCGAGTCCGTGAGGCCTACGCCTCCCTTGAAGCCTGTCGTCGAGATCGTTTCCCTGTCTCGCGGCGAGAGGCTGGTAGACTGGGCGGTGAAGCATAAAATTTTGACGGGCATCTTCGTGGTCGCGTGCGGAGCCGGCATCTACAAGGGCTACCAGGCGACTCGGTCTTGCAGAAAGACGAGGAGAGCAAAGAGGGCTAGGAATGGCGGCCGTACAGAGGTTATCGTCATCGCTGGCTCGCCGAGCTTGCCCTTGACAAGATCTCTTGCTCTGGATATGGAGAGGCGGGGATTCATGGTCTACGTTGTCTGCAACGCTGCCGAGGATGAGGGCATGGTCCTTGCCATGAAGAGACCCGATATTCGACCCTTGGGTATTGACACCACCGACGTGAGTTTGCTGATTTTGATATCGAAGCAAAATGCTGACACTGACCCCAGCCACCCAATGCCGGCGCTGCCATCGAACATTTTGCTCTCTTCCTCCAATCCCCTCAAGCTCCTGGACCCGGAATGAAGCCCAACCAGCTCACTCTAAAGTCTGTCATTCTCATCCCAAGCCTCCACTACCAGACTTCTCCCATCGCCACTATTCCCCCGTCCAGCTTCGCCGACCTGTTCAACACCCACCTCCTCCAGCCGATCCTCACAATCCAGGCCTTCCTGCCCCTCCTCACCTCGCGCCTGAACCCCATCGGGGAGAAATGGGTCCCTCCCAAGGTCCTTGTGTTTACGCCTTCCATCATCTCGTCCATTAACCCGCCTTTCCACGCCCCCGAGGCGACTGTCTGCTCGGCCCTTTCTGCTTTTACCGAGGTTCTCACTGCCGAACTTCGACCTCTTGATATCCCCGTTACCCACATGCAACTCGGTACCTTTGACTTTTCCAGCTTTGTTCCCGCTCGAGGCCATGGCCAGCAAGGTCTTATCAAGTCTGGAAACCCTGAGTCACCTCTCGTCTGGCCTGAGGGTGCCCGACATGTTTATGCCAAAAACTTTGTGGCACAGACCAGCTCTGCCATCTCGGGAGGCCGTATCCGCGGCCTGAGGGGCAGCTCTCTGCGAAGCCTCCACAACTCGGTCTTTGATGTGATTGATGGCTCCATCATTGCCGACTCCGTGCGTGTCGGCCTTGGCGCCAGCGTCTACGGATTTGTCGGACGATGGGCCCCCAGAAGCCTTGTCTCGTGGATGATGGGAATCCGCCGTGTGGATGAGCTGTCCACCTGGAAGACGAGCTCGTACGAGGGCTCCGAGGCTGACGAGGAGAGCGAGAACGGAGACACCGAGGGAGGAGAGACATCGACCGAGTTTGTCGCCGTTCCACCCGAGTCCAACGTTTGGGGTGGCGCTCATGAAGCCGAGGGAGCTCTCTGGACCCCTCAGACATCCGAGACCTCTTGAACGAGGAACCCTTGATGATTCTACACAGGTCATTTAATGGATCTAATGTGTACCGCAAATAACGATGGGACATGAAATAAGGATCCGTTCTGCTACAATAGACGCCGTCACGACTCCAATGATTATGTTATGTTAAAAACAGCACGACTCGCACAAAGATTGGTGAAAATACATATTGGTTTACTCTCTTCTCATGTCATCATCACTTGAATTTGCAACATGCTCCTCAGAAACCCGAGGCCCAAGAACTAATTGGGTATCATTGCCATTAAAATACCAAGTAGACGAAGCCTTTTGTACCATATCCTTAGAAATCTCGTCTGCGCCATTCGCTTTCTCTTCCATGTTTGTTAGATCCTTAGTGCCCTCTTCCACGGAATCGTCCCCTGCCGCGCCATTTGCCTCCTCTTCCGTGTCGACCGCCGTGTCTGCCTCCATCATCCCTGTCCCGATCCCGGTCACGGTCGCGATCTCTGTCTCTCTGCTGCTCGCGCGGCCTGTCCATTTCATCATCTCGTGGAAGCTCCATCCGAACATCCTCGTCCTTCTTCTCCTCTGACTTGAGGGTCGGCTTCTCCAGGTTCTTGGACCACTTGGGATGTGCGCCCTCCTTACAATCCGGACCATCTGGGCAGAAACCGGCAAGGTAAAAGCCACAAAGCTTGCGGCGAACGTGTTTCTTTGAGCAGTTGGGTCCCAGCGGGCAGAATCCCATATCATAGTGAGGACAGGGCGGCAGCCGACTCTGAGGATCGATGTGAAGGTAGAGGCACTCGTCGCCGTTTGAGCAGTATCCGTTGCGCATGAAGAAGTTGCATTCGGGCATCTTGCGCAGATTATACTCGTGAAGGAACTCGCAGTGCTCGCCCTTCTTGCACAGGCCGCGCAGCCAGTGCTTGCAGACGAGCGAGTTGAGGCCGCCCGTGGGCTGCGCCGTCTTGGCATCGGAGACGTGGCGCTCGGAGCATCGCGTGCCGTTGGGGCAGTGGCCGGACTGGAAGGCCTTGCAGATGGGACGGTCGGGGGGTAGGCCGACCTGGTATGTTCGCCGGAGGAAGGGCGAGAAGCGGAAGTTGTAGGAGGTCGCCGAGTGATTGAGGATGGCGGATGCGGCAGACTCGACTGCGGCGGGCATGTTGGGCAGAAGGCCGAGGCCTTTATCGGCACAGGAGTAGACTCTGTATCTCAATATCAATGCGTAGTTGCTGCTTGAGCGCGAGTGCTGGGTATGGTTTGCGGTGGGGAGAGAAACTTGGTGTTGATGTCGAGGTCGAGCTTCAGGTTGACAATTTCACCACGCGCAGAAAGCTCCAGCAGCTTCAAAGCCCGTGACGATAGGCGCCGTGGCGCCTGCGGTGTGGGGAACCTTTGTCAGCGACCAAGATCGCCGCTAGTTGGCGCCACCACCAGCTCCAGTTCCATAACAATTTGGGGGGGTATGAGAGCTCAACTGTCGCATGAGATGTGACTATCCAAGCTTCATAAAATCAGTTATTAAATTGGAGTATAAAAACTCTCCTGTGCTAACACACTAATGAACTCAAGTCAATAGAAACATGTGAGCGACGCAGTTGCTGGTCCATCACTGTTGCCCAATGTTGGCAACTGTCCCTGTTCCGTTCCTCGCCCGTACCTTCCTGCTATGTCTTGTGACCATCAACATGATCTCAACCCCCACGTTCATCTTTGGAACCTCCATCAATCTCAAGAGATAAGTCGTCAATCATTAAGTTCATTCCCTATTGCCCTGCCGCCTAATCTAAAGTACTAATCATCACAATGGACCAAAGGTGAGAGCTCAGATCGAAACACGACTGCGCTGGACCTTCTGACCCATGTAGAAATAGCAGTTCACATACCGACGAATTGAACTGTCCAGGAGACTCTCGCGAGCACGGCTCACCATTTCGTGTCTCTGCTCTGGTGTCATTCCCAGGGCAACCAATGGCTTGACCGCAAATGCTTCGAGACATTCCGAGATATTGGCCTGCATCAGCGTTCCTACAGTCCTCGGCTTCTTCTCCCCTGGCCATGACGAGAGAGGAACTCTTTTGGTCACCATCTGGATGCGCCTGAAGCCTGCACGCTTGAGGGACTGCTTTATATCGTGCTTACCAAAGCCGACACAGCCATACTTGCGCATGCCCTCGGTACAGGTGTCAAAGAAGATGCGCAAAGGATCATCTTCCTTCATGGTGTTGTCGTCGCAGAGCACCGAATGGTCGAACTCTTGAAACTCGATCCACCCTCCAGATCTGAGGTGTCTTTCTTCTCGTTAGCGATGTACCCCCGATATCTCGGTATCACGTTACTCACTCGTGGGCATTATCGACCACGGCATCGAGGTCGAGTAAGAAGCCAGCGACCCCCCTGAGGTGGACCAGGTCAAAGTTGTTTCCATGTGTCCATTCTGGGTCCTCGCAGTCTTCAATAAACATCTGGGCGTTCAACGGCATCGATTCGGGCTGAATGGGCGACAGATCAGTTCCGACAACACTCGCACATGGATATAGGTCGGCCACTGTGACAATCAGCCATGGTTTCGCACAGACACTTCGAAAACGGGTTACCGTCTATGGCCCATGTTCCTGACGTCAATGTTAGTATGAAGCCATCGGGATTCTGGGATACTAACCGGTTCCCGTGCCGATGTCGATGATCTTTCGCGGAGAGTCACCGATCTCCGACAAGAAGAGTTTACCACTCTGAAGTGATAGACTCGTTAGCAGTCGAACCGACCACAGTTCCTTCAAGCTTGTGTGCCATGGTACGCACAAGTAGATGGAGAAACAGAGCATGTTCAGTTTCCTCACGAAGCTGTTCTCCGTTATCGTTGGGGAGGGGGTACCGCCCGCTCATGTAGCTGTGATACCGTCGACCACACTCGTACTCAAAGCCATGAATGCTTGGAGGTAGCGAAGTGGAGCAGCTCGAGCTCAGATCCCAACGCGAACATTCGGACCTCTCCTCGTCATAGACGAGTTCGAACTCGTCCGTATCTTGATCTGTCGCCGTGTATGCGGACTCTATCCCCACGGTCGAGATGAGCGAGAAAGAGCGGGTATCGTCGTCTTCCATCGTGTCGAACGGTCCTAGGGCGAAGGATAAAGACTCGGTGGCAAGGGAAATGGACGACCTGAGATTCGGTACGCTTTATTACGGCGGGAATCATGTCCCCCTAGGTTGCGGCAACGCCACCACCTTGGCCATTTCTGTGAAACGACCAACTGCGACAGGTGCACAAGACCAAGAACCCCAATCAACATATGCAAGAGGTCATGAGGATTACACGGTTGCTTCCATGACGGAGGGCCCACCCCGATGAACCCTTTTGGCTGCCGACACTGGCCCTTGACAAAGGGGTTCGCACTTGGTGTGCCCTACGATCTACTACGTACTTACCGACGCCAGTTGTTGGTGATGAGTTATGCGGTTGGCGCATGGAGGGACTCTGCCATTCGGCTGTTTGGTTCAGTTTGCGCAAAGGAGGGGCGGAGTTTGTTTGCTTCACATGGCCCAAGCGGCGACACAGTACGGAATAAATGCCAGAGAGCCTTTCTGGAGAGCCGAGGGACAGTCGAATACACTTTCAGAGTGCAGAGAGTTTCTATCTGAGAAGTGTCTGAAGTATATTCTTGCAGAAGTTGAGCGGGCGGATACCTACTAATAACAGCTCTGCTATATCCATCCTCGAAACGGAAACGAGAACTGATAACGGATCGGTTGGGTAGATCTGAGTGACTCGGCCTAGGCCGGACGGACCAGGGTTGGGCAAACATGCATCTGCACTCGCTTACTTACTGCTGTGCGAGGTCGTCTACTTGAGCCTCGCAGAAGGACTTGCAGAGGACTCGCAGACTGCCCACCACCTTGCGGGTCGTCTTCGGTCTCACATGCTGCAAGACTCAATGCTCGGTCTCCTATTCTCATTACCTATTCGCCAAACCTTGATACGTCCCGCATCGACAGCCCGCCCACCGGGTAATGGACATCGGTTATTTCCCCCATGCCAGCCAACAGGTATGCGCGTCGTCCAGCTCAAGGCCAAGATAATGCAGCCAAGTCAGGTTGGCTGGGGTGCAGACAGCCTGGTGAGCTTATTGGTTTCAGTTCCTTGTGGTGTACTCTACACAGGACTGTTGGAGAGCTCCCTCGTGTCTGTGCTAAATGCAGCAGTTAAATTTGCATATGTTGAATGTAACATCATCTCGGACTTGTGCGAAGCTGACATTGAGGTTCCGGATCGCCAAAATGGCATCACACAACATTGATTCCCGGTACGACGTCACGGATACAAGAGGACCAGAGCCCCATGCGCGCCTAATCAACCCGTACATCCGGGGCGCGGCCGAGGCTGTGCGCATTAAACAATGGATCAAATAAAGCAACAACCCAGCTCTCTGAATGCGGCAACGGGGAAACACTCCGAGGGGCTCGATGGCTTCACCTCGCCGTTTGAACTAAAAACAGAAAAACAGAGCATGACAGCGTGTCAGACAGCTCCACAGAGTACGTACCGGGGGCTCTGCACACACTACCGAGACATTTGATTTCATCAGAATTCCTTCTGCTGGGCTTTGCAAGCTGATTCGGATGGGATTGGACGTTGGCCGTGTGGTTTCTGGAAACGACGCTAACAGTTGTCTCCCAGCGCCGCCGCCCCAGCAAGGATCCATGGGATTCTGATGTGCCAGACATCGACATCTCGGCAGGGTTGCTTAAACCCCGGGCTGCCATACCAGCCATGTGGAGGAAACGCCGGCGGCAGGTCACGCCAGTACGGACGTCTGAGCGAGAGTCTGGAGTTGGCAGTTGGCGAGAAACTCTGCCCTGCGTGTACCTTGGAGGCCGCTAGCCCCGTGGCTGGTCTCAAGTTGACATCCAGATGATGCAGGATGGCGGCACGTCACGGTTTCTGAACTCATAACCGAGTGGGCCTAGGTCTTGGTTGGAGGTTTCGGGGATGGCGGAGGGAGATGGAGATGAGAAGGCCTAGGCTCAAAGGCCTCTCGGGTTATTAGGATGATTCATGGCGAGCAACAGCGAGGTTTAGAGCCTGGTCCCGGCTCAACTTGGCTGTCAGGGCGAGCAGCTTGCAAGGACTAGGAGCTGAACAGAAGGTGTTTCACTCCACTGAATGTTGCGCCCAAATGGCCAGCATCCCTGGCCGTTTTTTAATTATGGAGCCAATCTCACCATTTAGTGCGTTCCAAGTGTTCGTCGACCTTCCAGAACTTCGATGGCAGGGCGAATCCGTGGAGCCGCACGGCTGTCGACGCCCTTATCGGAAGCTGTTCTGTTGGGCCTGGCTCGGCGCTTTTGGCACAACAGGCCCCTCGCCCCGGGGAGGGGTCCTAGACGCCTGGGATTGTCCTTGATGTCCTTGAGCGTCGTGGATTGTCCCGGTCCCCAAGATGGAGGTTGAGACATCGAGGACAGCCAACACTAATGCTGCTGAGAACAAGTCCCATCTTGGCTGAGACCGTTTCACCCCTTGGATCACGCCGATTCTTTAGCAGGATCACTCGCTCTGATCCTGCTGCGGTCCCGGTTCGAGCCTGGTTCGAAGCCGAGCCCTGGTGGCTCACGACAATGCCTTTTCGAAACTAAACTCCAGAGCCAGTCGGATTCGGCGACTTATACGGGGGAGACTCGTGCACGAGTCACCCCGCTATCCCGTAGCCATCGCCGCACGTACGTACGCACGCACTCACGCTCACAAAGGCGGGCACCGAAGAAAAGACTCATCTCCCATGGACGGGACGGCGTCTGCTCGGCTGGGTTCTCGGTGGGCAAGGCAATGCTCAAGGGCACGCACAGATGTACGTGTCTCGTCTTGCTGGCCTGTCATTGCGTTTCATCTTTTTTCCCTCTTCCCTTTTTACGACAGGGCTGTATCGTGGTCCGGGGAGGCCGCGGCTTGTCTCTGTCAAGTGTCAGTGTCAGTCATTATCAATGCTTCGCTTCAACCACCACCAAGCACGGCCGAGGGACAGCTCTTCTGGTGCCTCGGGCGTCCTCTCCTCAATGAGGGACGTGACGCGGACAGAGAGGCAGGGCAGGGCAGGGCAGGGCAGGGCAGGGCAGGGTTCTTGAGTGAGTCCTTTACGCGAGGAAAAGAAGAAACGAGAGAAAGCGGCCTCGCCCGAATGTCCCGCTTCTGTCCAGCACTGGCCTGCCAAGCGCCATGGGGTTGTTGTCATTTGGCGATGGATGGATTACAGAGGTTTACCATGACCAAATTGGCGTGGTCCAAGGCTGGCCCGAGGCTTGTTCAAGGCTCAATGATTGGGAGAGACGGACTAATGACAGCCGTGAGCAAGGCGGTCCGACGGACAGAGGACAAGACCCTTGAAGGCTCACTCAGCTCTGCTTTACTGTCGACGACTGCACAAGTCTCATCATCCATACATTCTCGACGACTCCCCGCAATTATGTCATGCATCATGGATGGTTTCGCCGTATCCTGGACCCTCCCGTAATTTGGATACCGGACGGGACCCTGCTCCACCAGCATCAGCCGCCCTGCCCAGCCCAGGCCGGCCCTCGATCCTCTGCCCGGCCGGGCTTGTTTGCTCGTTATGAGCTGGCCGCCGTCCATCCATCCCTCCATCCATTGAGCATTATATAGTCGACCAATCCTTCTTGACCGCAGCCATGATGCTCCTCGGCCTCGTTTGGTGCCTAACCTTGTTCTCCAACTCATCAATTCATCTTCCTTGACCTTGACCTTGAAGCTCTAAGCCATCGGGCTGATTGTTGGAGCATGACCTTTTCGCGCAGCATTAAAAGACAAGACACATCCGCACACAATTCGATCTTTGTAGACTCTGTTCTGGGTCATTCACTCGCTGCTTGAACGTCTATCGTCTTTGTTTTTCCAGATTTCGCCTCTTTAGTCGCCCATCATGAGTTCTTCTTCTCGCAAGTCACGGATTGCGTCGAGCATGTCCAATGTCATGTTCACCAACGCCGTCTACTTCCCCAACTACAGAATATACCAGGGCGACACACCGGGGATGCTCAACTACAGTTGCATCAACCATGTTTACTATGCGTATGCCAGTGTTTCAGCCGATGGTGGTGTTTTTGTAAGTTTCGCCCATCATCATCATGTGCCCGGGCGGCCGAAGATCGGTACTGACTCGGACCCCTGCTCTAGTTAAGTGATGAATGGGCGGATGCTGGAGCGCCTGTCGACGGTGTACAAGGCGGGCTGGGCTCCCTGATGCATCTCAAACAGAAGCATCCTCACCTTAGAGTGGTTTTGTCTGTTGGAGGCGGCAATTCGTCAGAGGTTTTCCCCCTAGTGGCCTCTAACACGCTGCTGCGTGACAACTTTGCCCGGTCCGCGAGGGGCCTCGTTGAAGCCTCTGGCCTGGATGGAATCGACAGTAAGTGGCAGCTGAGACAATGTCTTAGGCTTTCGTCTTGCTGCGGACGAGATGCTGACTGTGTCACTCGTGATAGTTGCCTGGGAATACCCGTGCGATGCGCAGCAAGGCTACGACTTTCTTGCGCTGCTGGCGGCCATCCGTATTCATCTCCCTGAGGAGCACTACATTCTCACGGCGGCGCTGCCCGCCAACAAGGCCATCCTGCAGTTTCTCGACCTGAAGCTGGTGACCGAGTACCTGGATTTCATCAACCTGATGGCGTACGATTTCTTTGGCAGCTGGACACCAAAGGCAGGCCACCACTCACAACTGTACGCCATGAACAAGGAGGAGACCTCAGGATCAGCGGGGGTTTCATATCTCATGTCCAAAGGGTTCCCGCCAAAGAAGATCCTGCTGGGCATCCCAACATTTGGGCGAAGCTTTCTCCACTGCTCGGGGGCTGGGCACAAGTTCAAGGGCGTCGGAGGCGCTGAGGATGGCACCTTTGAGTACAACCAGCTCCCACGCAAGGGCTGCAAGGAGGTTGTCGACAAGCGCCATGTGGCAGCGCAGTGCGTGGGCGCAGACGGTGGATTCGTGACGTACGACAACCCAGACACGGTCAAGATCAAGGCTGGATTTTGCAAGCAAAAGGGACTAGGGGTAAGTCGACCAGTGGCTGTTGTTCTCGGTGTCTTGCATTGTCTTGGACGAGCCACCGACGTGTCTTTCCCCCACGTCGGGATGCAAGCCGGGTACTTGGGTAGTAGTTTTGGTTACCAGATCGCTAACTGCGGCATCTAGGGTCTCTTTTACTGGAACGGCCCGGCCGACGCCAAAGAAAAGTCGAGAAGCCTAATTGCGGCTGGCTTCCGCGCCTTGCACTCTTCGTGAGAGGGGCTCTACCATCGTGGAGGAGGGACCTCTCAACCTCCTTACCTGAGGGAGCTGTGATGGCTATCCCTGGTACGACGTGACGGTTCAATGTCCTTGTCTCGCGGGCTGTTTGATCACAGCCTGCTTTCTGCATACTAGACGGTAGCGAGACGGCGTTTCATCATCATCCATCAACAGCATCAGAAGGGGCATTTGCTGGCGTTTCCTTTCTTCTTCTTTTCTTTTGTCTTTTGGGGGTTTCTTTTCTCCTTTGTTGCTTGGGAAAAACTTGGTTGGTTTACTATCATGAACGCCTTACAGGGATGGGTCGGCACACGTTGTTTCTTCTGGAAAGAGCCGCGAAAATGGGAGAGAGGGATATCATGGGCATCAGCATGACGGACGGGAATTGTTATAGACTCAATAGACGGGGGGTTGGCGTTTCTTCCAGGCAGCTGGGGTGGGAGGCAAGCACTGGATGCTCTACTCCCTCCTGGACACGGATGGTTCACTGCCAACCTGATTATCCTTCCAACTACAGCTTACTCTTCATGATTCATGGCGACGGGTCTTGTGTCTGTTGGTCCTGATTACAGTGCATCACTAGGGGGATCGAGAGAGACATCGGACAAACGGGACACGCCGGGGTATAACGAGACGCGATAGCCGTTCCGAAGAGAGGAAGCGCCGCGTCAACTGGTGGTCGCTCGTGTCGGTTATCCAGCTGGATCGGCGGTTGAACAAGTCAGGCAGGCAGGGAAAGCCTTGTTGGGCAACGACACGATGGGAGTGGTGGATGAGACGTTGAAAGTGGGTGTGGGTTGCAACGGCGCATGGCCCCCACGAGGGATTGGGAGCTATCTAATGCGAGGAGACGCCAGAATGAGAGACCGTTTTGGGTTTCCCGGTTCCCGTATGCCTGGTGTTGGTCTTGACCTTTGGTGAGGTATGGAAGATGGATGGGTTTCCTAAAATAGGTGTTCCGTTGAGACGCATGGGGTCGCGTGTAAGATGGTGTTTTTGTTTGTCCATGTACTCGTCACATGCCAAGTCACGATACTTGAAAATGAGTAAAAGCGGCATGCGACATAAAAGTTACCTTACAATTGACCTAAACCTTAATAGAGCTTGCAGCTGTTTTTTTTGGCCGCATGGGGCATCATCCACGTGCGATAAGATAAGGCTGGAGCTTACTTCCGTCATGCTGCCTACCTAGGACGTCGATACCATCTTGAAGCTTCAACAGCAACATTAACCTTTGTCGCCTTCTCAACATTTCGACAGGTCGACCAACGGTGGACAAGTACCTGAGCGCATAAAGATGCTCACGGAGCGGCAACCGTCGTTCAGTCACAACCCTTCCTCAACTCGCACTCCTCACCACCATGTCCGGCACCGATAGGGATCCGTCCCCACCGATTACGGCCTCCGGGCTCGCTCCCGCCGCCGAGCTCCTCCACGAGCAGCAACAACAACAACCCGAAGATGAAGCCCCGCTTGAGCCCCCGATGCCTCCGTTCGAGCCGCTCTTTGCGCTCCTGACAAACTCTACCACAAACACCACCGTCCACCCCCGCATCCACTACCTCTTCTCCGACGACGACCCTTCTGTCCTGGCGAGTCCTGCCGTCGACCGCGCCCTCGTCGTGGACCTTGTACCTGCTCCCGAAGGAGACTCGAGTCGATGGGCTGTCTCTTGGGCTGCGAGCTTGACACCGGACTTTGCCGTTACAACATCAAACGTGGCTGTACAACAAAGCGAGGGCGATGACGACGGCCGTAATGGGGGCGCCCTCATGCTCCGCGTCGAAGGCGTAGAACGCGAACCAGTCGAGATGCGCCCCGACAGCCTTCCCAGCTCCGGCAGCGGTGCCATAGGCGGTGAAGACGTTGACGTGCTCGCCGAAGACTTTCGACGACGTATGGGTGTGCTGAAAAAGGTTGTCGACGAGGGAGAGAAGCGACGCGCCCTAGTAGGACAAGAACATGAAGACGAGCAAGTAGACGAGGACGAGGGTCCACCAGACGAGGCGATAGTGGACTATGACAGCGTCGAAAAGGGAAAGGAAAAGGCCAAGGAATGAGTTTGAGACGTCTTACCGGAATCTGATACCCTTTGTGGGTATTCAGTGTGTATGCGTACAACAACTGTGAGACGCTTTCAGTTTGGCCCCATCACGGATGGACACTTGGGCATGCTATGCTTAAAGGCCTCTTTGTTTAGTTTACACGATGCCTTCTCATGGCATAAACGACAAAGTGTTTTCTAGAGAGGATGCGATTGGATTATCAGGTGGACCAGGCACCTTTTTGACACATGGATGAATGGATGTATGGGTAAAATTGGTTTGGCGTATGGGATTTGTTTCACCCGAGTATCTCGACTCTATATCCATGGATGTTTGGATCAACTAAAGTAGGCCCAAGCTTGGGTGTATGAATTGGACTTTATATCACGCGTATCCTTGTTGTCTTTAATTGTGAGTCTTTTAGTTGTGACAGCAGTTTCTCACATGTGGAGGCAGAATAAACACGGCGTAGCAAAAAGATTGATTAAAAGTTCATATACTGTATAAACGCCCCTAACTAATGCAAATCGAAAGAGAGAAAAAACTCCAGAATGGCGACAGAGAGAACAACGCAGAGGCCCGATTTGTATCCTTTCAACAACAGCAAAACCAAAAAGAGATGAGGACAGGCTATCGGGCTGTGGTGGCAGCAGCAACAAAACATGGTGCGGGCAGGGAATACGCAAGAGACAGGCAAAGAAAAAGCAGCAGGCAATGATCGCCGTGAGGCAAAGAATCGGTTTCCTCTCTTCAGATGCGTATATATCCTCAAGATGGCAACACGGGGCGATGGCTGGGCTATACGACAGCCACGCCCAAACAAGATACTTTTGGGGAGTCAACCTTTTATCCTCCGGGCGCCTATTTCGGGATTGAAGGGAGGTGCATCCGCCCCTTGGTGAGTTGGTCAAGGAGGGCGGTAGCTTCGCTGTCGTCTGCGCTTCGGCCCATGATGCGAGATCGTCGGCCGAGGGCGTTGATGGCGGGTAGAGTGCGGTTGATGTCGTCGACGAGGCTTCGCTTCTTGTTGTCGTTGTTCTGGCCCTTGATGACAAAGATGTAGATGAGCACGATAATGACGATGACGAGAATGATGGCCACTGCATGCAGAGTTAGCTGGCCGTTGATAGGGCTGCATAAACGTTCGATACTCACCACAGATACCAAGGCAGATCCACTTCTTCTTGCGAGTCTTGCGGGCCGTGTTGACGGCGACGCCAATCTCCTCGTTACCCTTATCGAGGTTCTCGACGACCTCTTCGGCCTTCTGCTCAATCTGGGTGACAGCAACCTCCTGCTGGACGACGAGGGTGTCCATATCCTGGAACAGCTGAGCGAGCTCAACCATCTGCTGCTCAATCTTGACAAGGGCGGCGTGACGATCCTGGACAGCGCTGAGAGCGGCACGGGCGCGTCCTTGGCGGTCGCTCTGCATGAGAGCCTGCTGGAAGACCTGGCCACCAGTTGTGTCCTCGACGGCGGCCTGAACCTCAGCTTCGCTGGCATCGGGGCGAACGATACGGTACTGGCGAGCCATCTGGTCCTGGGTGCGCTTTCGGAACTGCGACTCAACCTGCTGGTACTGCTGGATAGCTGACTTGAGGCGGCGGTCGATACGGGTGACGTGAGGGTTGTTCTTTGCTGACTGGGCCTCGGGGTTGGACTTGACGACGCGGACGCGTTCTGTGAGGCCGCGGTAGAGGCTCATGGTGTCGGCAGAGAGGGCATCAAGCTGCTGGTTAGCGGCGCTCGATGCCGAGCTGTCGGCGTCATCGAGTGTTCGCTGTTGAATGTGACGGAGCTCCTCAAGGTTCTTCTCGACAGTGTCGATGCCGCGGTCAATATCGCGGCACTCGTTCAGGATGGCGTTGGGGTCGCCATGGCCGAAAGAGCTGGCGTTGTGGGCGAGGGGCTCCATCTCGACGTTGCCTACGAATCGCGTCGTGTCAGCGCGCGCTGTGGATGACGGACGACGACCAGCCAGTCCCATATCCAGTTCAATCACAATCTCACCTCCGAAACCACTCTGCGCGGGAGGGCTGTTGTACCCACCTCCATAGCCGCCATTGTTACCATAACCACCATTGTTTCCGTAACCGCCGGTAGGAGTGTTGTAGCCCGTGTCGGGCGAGTCGTAGGGATTTTGTCTTCCGTATCTATTCATGTGCGTCAGCAAAGGGGTCGAGGGGCGAAATCGAACGCGTTGGATGCGACAACTAACCCGTACTGTGAATGAAGTTAGCAAATATCAACATTAAGGAGTATCGTGTTGATTAGAGGATTTAGAGACTCGAAGGTCGAATTGCGGCACTCAATTCGCGTCGCTGGTTGGAGTCACTCGAAGGGATTGGGGGCAGGAGGTAGGCAGAATAGGAGGCGAGACTAACACTCATGGTGGGCGACTGAGCAGAGCCCTACTCAAAAGCTGTGAATGGATTTGTTTCGGGAGATCGAATAAGCTCTCCTTTGCAAGTTTCGTCGTCGTCGGGCTTGATCTTTTTAAGCTCGAATCGTTCGTGTTTGGTGTTTTCGCCTTCTCCCTCGTATTGTAGGTTTTGGGTATATTGTAGGGAAAAGGAAAGCTTCGGTGGTGGCTGGACCCGAGATCTCGTCGCACAGCAAAGAGAAAACCACTCGAGAATAAGAGAGGGAAAATAGCGAAGGTCGAGACTTTGAATGAGGGGGGGCGTAAGGGAAGGTAGAAAAGGAAAAAGAAGAAGTGCAACAGAAGGGGGGGCGATGGAACGAGGGCGTGGATGAGGAAAAGTAAGAAAGAGGCAAAAAGACGGACGGGAATGGGGAAGACAGACGGTGTGAGAATGAACAGGCATGGGAGTGGCCACTGAGTTGGAGGCGCGCCATGGTCCAGCCACTGGGGGACGGGCGCTTGGGCGCTCCAGCTGCTGCTCACTGCCTCTACTGGGCTGCAGGTGGGTTCTTTTTTAGCGGCTAGATGCCCTGGGGATGGATCAAAGCCCCGAGTCGGTTGTCCGTACCTACAGGCAGATGGTCCGTAGGTATTGTCACCCATCATCAAGTGCTGTCCTGGCAGTCAATCAAGATATGGACAATTCGCAAAATAATTCCTCAATTTGACCTAAAAACTCGTAGTTGACGCCTTCAATCAAGGTAGCTCGCTTTATCTCAATGCCAATCTCAGACCGTCACGGTCGCAATCTCGCAAGCCGACTCGGACTGCTACTGCTCCAAGATTAAACTCGCCAGGCCCCCAACCCCTTGGGCAAGCAACCCAAAATGCTACACAGCTCGAATCAATCATGCGACGCTCAATTGGAGGGAGGGGGCCCTGCATGGATTTCTGTCTAATGAGCTTGGGCGGCAGTTTGCTGTGCTTCTTTTTTAGGGGTCAGGTCCCACGATCCCCAGTAATAACAACTGGCTGTCAAGGGTCCTCTCATTGGTGATGGATGGCCTCTCCACCTGTTTCACATTTGCACGCGGCTGCTTTATCCCATGGATGTTCAAACCTCGCCATCTGTAACACGTCTGGTATTGTAGTCTGCATCTTGCTACGTGTGAAGCAGCAGCGTCATGATCATGTTCATCATTACCACAAAATTCCACTCCCATTCTTGACACCAGAAACAAACTCCACCGTTACTGCGCCTCTACGTCCGCATCAATATGTAGGCTGACACGGAAAAAGCCCTGCGAGCCCACGCTAATCCCTCAGCTCCTAGCTCCAGGGACGCCACCTTTTTGGAGATTGGCACTGACCGGGGTTGGTCTGGAACAAACCTCAACCAAGCTTCTGCCCAGCGTGGGGCTCTCTCCCCAAGACAAGACAAGCATCTGGTGTGTGGGTGGATGCCGTGTCAAGGGTGCTCGCGATTCTGCGAGGTTATTTTCGGATTCATATGGAATACGGAAACTCTACTCCGTGTGATGGCCAGATTCGTTCACAGAAGCTGTCATCAACGGCTTCGTCTTACCACTGTTCATGCATTTCGCAATAGAAATGCCCTTCTCGGGACTTTGGTCAGCTCCACCCTCAGCAGGATTTCGTCTCACTCACATCACACCCTTGCCCGGCTTTCATCAACCCGCCACAGAGACTTCAGCCGCATGCTGGCGTTCAATAAATCATAAGCTGACACCTCGCATTCGACGGCTCCAGCTCGGACTTGCTGATGTTTGCTCGCCGATCACGCATGCACACCTCAACCGCTTGGCAAAAATTGTTCACATGGTCATTTCTCTTTCACTGCATTGCATTACAGTATTTGGACGTCAATTACTCTAGAACCATATTCCAACCCCATATCATACTTCATCCCACGTCTTCACACGCTGCTTCAATCCCAAAAACAGAAACTCCGCTCGACTCTTCACAACCACTCATCTCGTATCGCCAAAGCACCCAAACACGCCCAAAAGCATCCGAATCTCATACAAAAACAACTTATACCATGCTCACAAAATAGCGTACGCCGACACATAGCTGACACTCATGTCATCAGGTTCCTGAACCAGATTGCTTCGGTCATATTGAATGACCTGGAAACGGCCCTTGCCCTGGTACTGCGGCTCCTGACCCAACAGCTCGAGAGCCGCCATCATGACTCCGATGGGGTGTCGCCCGCATACCGTGTTCTTGGTCTGCTTCAAGGTCGCGAGGAAAGCATCGTGACTGCCGCTCTTGACGCCGTCCATGGCTGCTTCGTCGATGGCCCGAATAGTCTCGTGAATTGGGGGACCGGCTGGTGCTCGATCCTGTCTGCGCAGCTTCACCAGGTCCCCGGGGCTGCTGGTCGGAGAGTAGACCATGTAGCTAAAGTTATGGCCCCAATGGCAAAAGTCGGAGCTGATGATGAAGGCGTTTTCTGGGTCCTTGAGGTAAGGCAGAAGCGCACGGCCTACTTCCTTCTCCTCCGGCCCGTTGTTGGATCCAACCAGCACAGGCACGATCTTGGGGAACTTGTCTGGAGAGCCAAAGGTCTGCTGACAGCGGAGGTAGAGATAGGGCATGTGCATCTCTAAGGAATGCTCAAGGACCTCGTTCCTCTGCGGCATGAGGTCCATACTGGCAGCATCTTCAAACTTCTTTGCCAGGGCCCGATCAACGGTAAGCTCACCAAAGGGAGTTTCGTACTTGTCAAAGGTAGTAGCGGCACATCCTTCGAGGTAGTAGGTATGAGAAGGTCCCAGGACAAAGACGCGCTTGGCGCGGCTCAGGTCTAGAGTCTTGTACGCCCAAGCCGCACACGGACCAGAGAACTCATACCCAGCATGGCTAGCACCCAACGTCGTCAGCTTAGAGTCCGGTCGAAATGTATGGGAGATCAACTCACGGGGCAATGATGATGCGAGCTCCAGGAATCGGCAGAGAAGCTCCGTCGAGGCTCTCCGGCACAGCCGCCAGGTTGTTTAGGAGCTCTGCCTGCAGCGTCTTGGCATTGCTCTTGTACCAGGAGCCAGCCTTTGCTGCGGGTCGTGTCGCCACCATGATTGTAGTTGAATGAGGTATAGATTCAGTGAACTGCAGGTTGGGAGAGAAGGGAGCTTTAAAGTTATCAGGAGAGTTCAAAGGTGAAATATGATGCCTGCTGAGGGATGCACGTCGTAACTTGCTGTCGATACCTAGCCGCTCCTGCCCCGCCTCTCCGGCGGGGTATGTAGCGCGATGCATGGCATGACGACCATGAGCATGCACGCCCAATGGTTGGACGAGGTTATCTGTAACATGAGACATGGTTCATGAGCGCGTATTCTGGGCGTCAAACGCATCCATTACTCCCGTACCTGCGTTTGCAACGGCACCTAAGGATGCTGATCTGTATGAGTGAGATCACCTGGCTTTTTCTTGCTTTCCCATCAGGTCAGGTTCTTCATCATATGCGTTTATTCCCACATGACTTATTATACTTTGCACTACACTTGTCCGATGTTGCCTAGACGTCAACCCAAGATCCGGGCATCACGATATCCTCCTTCTCGATCATCTCCCAGAACTGGCACGCCATCCACTCAAACTCGGGTGCCCATACTATACGCCAGTCACTAGGTGTTGGTCCAGTCTTGAGCTCCAACAGCCGAATCGGAACCCAGTGGTTCTTATTCCACTTGCTCCGGTCAGCTCGCTGCCCCCTCCTGAAAGCCAAGCTGACGGCAGCCGTTGGCAGGGAGTCCCGGATGCTGTGCCTCGACGATTCAATGGCGTCTGCATCGAGAGCACCACGCATCTGTTCCTTCAGCGTTGTGGCCTCTCTTTGGCCGTACATCTCCAGGTCAACTCCGCTCTCCTGAAGATCCAAAACCCACTGCCGGATGGACTCTTGGAATACCTTGTCCCAGTGGAAAAAGGTTATGTCAGGCGACATGTAACATAATGCACCCCCAATCACTGACACAAGTGGTGTCCCTTTCCAAGCCGGAACGCTATAGACGTCCCACGGCTGAACACTCTCAATGCTATGTAAATCCTCTGGTGAAGCCACTGCGGTCACTTGCTTCACCAGGAGACTCCAGCCTTCGCTGTAGGAGGCCATGCTCCACATTGCCCACCCTCTCTTGTAGGGAAGAACTTCGTCGGCGAAACGTATGCCCAAAGCGAGTGCTGCCGAGTGGACTAGGGACACGTTTTCATGGCTCGAGTGGCTCACGTCAAAGCTGGTGACCTGTCTATTTTCCGCCAAGAGCCCCAGAAGAGTTTCCGGTGATTGAGAATGGAACGAAGCTAGCCGGAAAGCTTCGAGGCGATATCTCAGTGGACCGGTATAGAACTTGGGTAGGAATCTTTGTCGAAAGATGTTGACGTATTCATCGCCATAGTCGCATTCTCTTTGGTAGTCAAAAAGACGTAACAACATGCTGGATTCCGGCTCGTCCATGTAGGAATGGAAAAGCTCGACAATCTTCATCCAGTCCGCTTCTGGATGGTCTCTATCGGGCTTGAACACTGTTGGTGTCAAGGCACCCCTAGTTTTGGATTAGAGCACTTCCAGGACCAGGTTAATCATGTTGAACTCACTGTCTTGACTCTCCAACTCTCTCGAGCAATGCATCCTTGAGCCCCAAACCTAGGAAGAGCTGACAGAGCTCGAAATTCTTGCTATCTGCGGCGTGCTGTAAATTCATTAGCAAGGCTCAAAGAAGCCTACGAACTGACCTACAAATAGGAGTGACTGTCCGTTCTGATCTTTGTCGAATGGAGATGCTTGTCGTGAATTGAAAAGTTCCAAAACCCCAGCTTTATCCCCCACCCGGATCTTTTTTATGATATCGGATGTTGAGGAGATGATGTTATACATTCTGTAGTTGTACGTCCAGCCGCAAAGTGTCGGAGAAGACTGGATCTCGCAGACCGATTGCGAGAGCCAGCTTGGCCATTGGATGTATGCCTGCCATGCACCTGTCGCTGTAGTATATGCCAACGCGAATCGACCTAGTTTTGAAGGAGAGTATGTTCTGACGAGTTTCGACTCGTTTGGTGCCAAGGCAGTTGGCTGATTCTTCTTCGCTGCTGCTTCATTCTGTTTCTGTTTCTGTTTGCTTCCATCTTTGGCTTCAATTGCCAATGGTGTTGTTGGCTGTGGCGCTTGATAACGTGCGTGAATCTCGGTCGTGGCTCTAGAGAACATGAGATCGCGAGTTCGTTTTGCAACCGCCCTTGAACAAAAATTGTCAGATACTGATAATGATAACTCTGTAACTTCTGATTTTGTTTTTCACTTACATATCCCAAGCCATGATAGACAACTTGAGTAGCTCGATGGACTCGCTTAGCCTGTTCTTGAGCCGATCCAGGCCATCCTTTCCGAGCGCCAACTTGACGGCAGCCAGCTTCCGTTTCAGTCCCTTCTTTGCATTCAGCTGAGAGATAAGATCATCTGCGGTGCTCTGAAGGGTCTTGAGAGACATTTGGCAGCAGTCCAGGTTTGTGCGGACAAGCGAGTCGTTCTGCACGGAACAGAGGGAATCGTCGTGTTGCAGCTGTTGCTGCATGGCGTCAAAGATTGGCTGGTGACATTGGAGTCGCAGGATGAGGGCCTGGATATCTTCGGGGAGCTCCTGGGCTTGGTCCCATAGCTTCTTGGTCTTTATGACACATTTTGCGATTTCGGTCGTTATCTGGACAAAGGCGATTATGCTAGCGGCGGTCTCCATGTTGGCTTCATGAGACTGATGATAACCTCATTCGATGGATCAATAGCGAACAACAACACAGCTGACCAGAAATAAATGGAAGAATAATTGTATACAACTAGAATAACAAGACAGGAAGCACAGATTGAAGCAGAAGAGAGAATCTCCAACACAGCCTCCATGATGGGAGCTCATGACCTCAAGTCCTACGTAGCACGTCCGTGGCGAGAACGCAGGGGGGCTAACTCCGAGACACAAACAACCAACAAAGTGTAGGATCCATGCCGCGGACCAACCAGTTTTGGGAGGACGGGGATGGCGCGTAGATGAGTGGCCGCATGAATCTGGGCGGCAAGGCGAACGGGGGCCGCGGCAGATGGTGTGGTGCCCGCCAGGCTGTGTCGACGAAATGGTAGGCCTCCCGTATAGCTAGGCGTTTTCGGTCGTTACTCAAAAAGAAATATATGGGATATTTGTCATTGAATAGAAGTGAAAAAATCAAGATGAAATGAGATATTGAAGTGTTAGATAGAGATGGAATACCCAGACGTAAGCGCCATGACAGCCGTTTGTACATGCATACGCGCGACGGGTCCGGCTAGAAGCCCCAGCGGTGCGGGCCGCTAAAGCCGCTGTCAGGGCGCTAACAATGATTGGTTACTGGTCTACGGAGGCGTCCTTCATCATCTCACCACCAGAGGAAGTCATCTTTGTCCACAAGGAAACTATGATTCTGGCTCAGTATAAAGACATCAATGAGCCACTCTGTAGATGCTCTTATGTATCTTCGCTGTGTACCGGGCAGCTCTCTCGTAGACAATCATCATACACAAGTCTTCGCCTACATCACCATCCTATGCTCTTCAGCTAGACTCATCGTGAGCGTCTAACGCTCCTTGCGTACACGGCCAAGCGCATTTTGGAGAACATAATAAGCCACCCGTATATTATCGTATATCTCCAGATAACCTAGGCTAGAATGCCCGCATATTGCTTCTTTCGCCACCGCCTCTACTTCGTCAAACCGCTGTGCCTCGAGCAATATTGAAACAAGGTCAACCAACAAAGATCTCACTGCAAGTCGTAAGTCGCTTCCCCATACCTGGGAAACTATCTCCCTTGTGCTTTCTACTACCTGCGTACCATGTCCCAAGGCGCTCAGAACACGAAAGCGAAAACAAGTGAGTGGCCTTTCCCGACTCCTGAACAGGGCAGCATCGCCGAATTCACGGATATTTCTGAGTGCCTTTGTCACGATTCTAAGAGTTTTGTTACTAAGGTCCATGTGGTGGGAGCATATAGCCATGTTAATATTGCAGTGGATATCAAGATCCCTCGCCCCCGAATCGTTGCAAAGCCACCAGATGCAGCTCTCAGAGTTGACGGGGCATCTCTTCCTCTGCCATCGAGATACGCCAAGTTTGTTTCATAAATGCCCATCGCATGTAGTATAAACACGTCCACGTTTTCTGCCCTGCCAAGATCGAGGCAGGCTTTGAGCATGACCAAACTCCTGACTATATCAAGAGGCACCTGGCTCTGCACGGGTTCCAAGACTCCGAGGGTCAGCAGCTCCTTTAAAAGCTACTGTCGCTGGGCCCTGGTCGTCCACGAGCCCTGTAGAGTAAGAATTTAACCTAGAAGTTCAACGTGGTAGATGAACTTTTTGCCAGAGATACCAGTTTGTTTCAGTACTGGCAGCAACCATTCCAGTGCCTCAAAAAGTAGTGAGTCTGGTGTCGTATGGACTCTGGGCTTATCTATAGCCTCATGCCAATCATTAATGGCCTCATCGGACACCGTGGCAAATTGAACCACGTCCCTGGCTTATCTACCAACTTCCCATCAATCCCCGGTGCCCTATGTTCTTGTGCAAACATGCCAACCTCGGAGCTCAGTTCTTCAATCACTCTCGCGAAATCACAGATGTAATGACACTCAGGGGAGCCATATCCCATCTCTGAAGAGCCCATATCGAGGATGAGTTGCCCAACTTGTTCCTCCCACGGCGGCATCCCCCAGGGCTCAACAAAAGACTAACATCACTCAGCCAGTTTCCAGTTGGCTCGTAGAATATACCTTTATGGAAAGGCTCAGTAACGATCGTCGGTTGTTCAGAATGGAATGCAAGATCCAAGTGTAAGTTCCCGTACTCATTTGGAGCTGTCTGTGCAAGATGTAGACGTGCCACGTCTTGAAGCATGCCATGCCCTTCCAGGTTCGTGATGTAATCAGTAGCTATCAATCCATCTGACAGTGTCTCAGACTAGCCCTTGCATCTTTCTAGAAAGACCGTAAAGTCGAGGCGTGAGCGGCGGGTGTGTAGCCCTGCCTGGACGATGGTTAAGGGGTTCATCCAGAGCTAGCCAACAATGCTGCGGACCACCAACTTGCCCCGAGGCTCTATGTCCTTGGTGTCACCACTCTTTGAGGCTTGCATAAGTAACTCCACGGCATCTTCCTCTTCCATGATTTCGATGTTGACAGATCCATCCAGTCGCAAAAAGTCCTAGACATTCTGCCGACGAGTGGTGATCGGAACAGAGGCATTTTTGCGCCAGTGGGAAGTACCTCTTGATCGCTCGAATCATCTCAGGCTTGTCAACGCTGTCGAAGACAACCAGCCAAGGGGTCTTGGTGTTGGCAAGATGGCAAAAAAATGGCTTGGGCTCTGCCGTCCAGTGCGAAGGGGAACCTGCCGTCATCATGACCGAGGATCTCCTCGGCACAAACAGACAGGTCATAGTCAATGGTATTATTAGAAGAAGTGTCAATCCATGATATTGACTGGTAAGGTTGATCGATGTATCGTTGTCAGAATTCGATTGCCAGAGATATCTTGCCTTGGCCTGGAAGACCCCTAAGAGTGACGCAGCGAGCTTTGGTCCCTCGTGGTTTGTCGATTAAATGATACTTCAAGGTCATACGGTCCTCAACTCGGCTAACAAAGTCCTTGACTCTATGGTAAGGAAATTTGATGAACCTGGCCGGGGTTTTCTTTTCTGATAGAGAATCCCCGACGACTTCAAGATTCTTGAGCTTGCCGAGAACCTGGGATAGGGCTTTACTCGTGCTTTCGACACCCTCGGTGATCGTATTCATTACCACTAATATGTCTAATACATGGCGAAGCAATACCAATGGCCAAATGACTCCAGCGGTTCAATTAGTCTTTGCCCTTCGGTCACTCATGGGCAGTGGGCGGTGAGCGTTGATAACACTGTGAGTGAATCTATCAAAGGGAACAGAGGGGTGAAGCCTGGGGATGGAGAGAGGGTTTTCCCAGCAATGTGTGCCTCAGTGAAGCGGGCTAGACCTCCAGCTGTCATGTCTGTAACCTGGGGTGAGGTATCCTCAAAGGACTGGTGGATTGCACTTTGAAGAGAAATGATCGAATCAAGCAGGGGATATACCGCCATGCAGATGACTAGTGGTTGGGCTGAGTTTCTGAGCGGTAGGTGGCTGAATGTAAGATGGTGCAAGGAGCCGGGTGCCTATGAGCACAAGCAAAGAATGATAAAGGGAGGAGTGACTCGGTATTACCTGCCTTCTCCAAGTATCCAGCAAGCGATGGATCGAGATCGAAGCCCAATTCAATATGCGCCAAAGTATCTACACAAACCCAGCTCAGGCTGCCTAGATTCAACGGGTTCGTTTGGCTGGTGAATGCACAGTTGATGCCCAGGTATGTTTGTCTGACCGGAGTCTTGAATGTCGGCAAACAAACCATTGAATATCGTCAATGTTACTTCAAGGCCATGGGAGCACCATGTTTCGTGTGCGGCTGTCTCCTCCACCCCGCGTCTTCCTATGTGCCCAAGGCGCGTCAAACGTAAGCAAGAGCCACGACAATGCCGAATACGGGCTTCCAAACGGGATACATAAACCGCCGGGATAACTGTTGGGGAGACGGAATTAACGTGGTTCGATATGGATGGATCCTGCTGGGGTAACGTCGATCTGAGTATCCGTTCCGTAGAGACCCTTCCGGAATCGCAATCGCTTGTCCACCTGATGCATTATCAGATCCTTATCAATCTTGACAATTTTGGAGAACCTTCATGGAAAAGACGCTCGGATGGGGGACCCGAAGCTGGCGGATCCAATAGCAATATTCTGCGCGAGACGAGACAGATTGGCTGTAGGCGCTGACGTAGGTAGGACTGAAGATGATCATCGCGACATGAGCAGCTTACCACTGCAGTATGTCACATGTTAAATCTCCGAGAGTGCGATGACCATCTCAGGGCTCGAGATTGTCTCTAGATTGTCTCCAGATCCTTCCTTTTCGCCATCCATCGCACAAAGGTCACTCAAGAGTAACTAACACTCTACAACGAATCCTCCCGAAGCCGGAGCTGGAGTTGGTGGGAACAGAACAGGTGACCGGGTAGAGATGGATCCGTCCCGAACCGACGAGGAAGCGTTGGTACAACGGGAAGGCATCTCCACCCTTTGACCAGGCGTCTTTGTACCTCCGAAAGTGTCTTGTAGGACAGGCTTTGATTCGAGGGCATGGTTCTGCCGAGCAATAGGTCCTGCAGTAGACTTGGGCGCATGCATCGGCACGGCTGCGTGTCTTGGTTCTGCTGCGCAATCTCTTCAGGCCGCCATGATAGATACATGTTCGAGACAGAGCTGGCAGAAAGAGGAATGGATGGGCCGAACCGGGCGGGCTGGTAGTGAAAAGTGAACCCTGGAGCTGAACTCTTTTATCGACGAGCAGGGCCAGTTACTGGACAATCGGGAGAGCCACAAGGGACCTCAATTGAGCTAGCAACCTGATGGAGGTGACCACCTACGCCCCTGTCGGACAAGGCGGCAAGGGAAAGGGAAAACGGCAAGGGATCAGAAGAAAGGAACTGTTGCATTTGGCAAGGGGCAGATCAACTGATGGTGCGTGCATGACGTGCGTAACGCCCACAGCTTTACACGGCACTTTTTCGTTCGTGATGCTACATTCTCTGACGCGGTTCGCGGACAGGTCCCAAATTCTAACCGGGTGTCGGCAATGAACTTGT